CATCTCCATTCGTTCAGTATTCATTGTTGCCATGAGTCCTTGCCCAGATCATGTCTCTAATCCGAATCCAGGTCCAGACAAAACACCTTTGCATGATACACACAGTCGCTGTGGTGAAGATGAAGATAGTTCCAGATGATGAGCAGATTCAAGGCGAAATTGAGGAAGGGACAATGTTTACTTGTATATAAGGACGTACAATGAATAATTATTAAGTGCCCCTTTGTACATGTGTCTTTCCTTGGCATATATCGATATGTACAGTATCGTAGCTGTGTTAGTCAACACAGAGAGAAGTATTTATAAGACAATTATATCTTATTTTTGGTAGGTGATTTTCATATCCAGAGGTTCCTGCATTAATTTGTCCTTGTATCGAGGCCCAAGCAGACGTGTGTACAGTATTGTATCACGGTTTTCTAATGACTCTCACAGTCTTACGAGCAACCGTTCGGGAGCGACCTAAAGCTAACAAGACTGGATTTTATAAATTTAGGCTATGCTATTACCCAACATCTTTAAGAAATTAACCCAATCAAGTGTCTGACACGACTATTGAGATTACATCTCCCTCTGTTAACTACTCAAGTGAAGGGGTACTACGGTGAGTGTGCCTGGACTGCTCATTTCATTCAATAACCCTTCCATCATTACTCCGCTAACTTGCTTCAGGCAACGTTTACTAGTACCGTGTATGGTGGAACGTTCCAGAGGGAAGTTGAGTAATCTGTCGTAAGCGATCGTGCCAGCGGTACGACACTGTGTGAAAGACGTGTGCAGAAACTTGTTCTTCGTGATGATGAAGCTGCCCTTTAGAAGGGCAGACAGAATGTGTTTGAAGATCAGTGGTGAAAAACATGCACAATTTCTAGAGTTCTTCATGTTGTTCTACTCTCCAAGCAGAGGTTTGGGTTTTGGGGGTATTTTTAGTGCGTTTTTAGGCTTTTTATCGGGGTTTCTTTTTTGCACTGAATTTTTTTTCCACCAAACCCGGGAGAAAAAAAAATTCAGTGCAAAAGAGAAACCCCGATAAAAAAGCCTAAAAACACGCTAAAAATACCCCCAAAACCCAAACCTCTGCTTGGAGAGTAATGTTGTTCTAGGCAAGTGTCTTAAGTAATGCCGCCAGGTTTTACGTAAGTCAGTTGTTTATGAGGCATGCCGACGGATTAAGCTTTCCAATTATGTTAGGTTAGATTGTCTAGATTTCATCTGATATCAACATTTGTGCATGTTAATCAATCTTCCGCAAATCACCTTGATCCCCTGGTTTATACAGCAGTGTATCCGGTTTCACTTCCGAAACTATAAGGAAGCACTTGAGTTAATCTACTAAATATGTGATGGACAAATTTGGACTAATGTTTCGGGCCCAAATTCACCATTTCCGACAATGAAAATTCAATACTCAGGCCCATGAATGAATTGCCGAAGAAAACTAATTCATGTAGTTTTCATAATGCGGAATTATCATCACGGAATGGCAGACTTCACCTCCTTGGCCCAAGTAGGCCATGCACAAGCAGACACGCGGATGCGTCAGAACACATTTTCAGATGAACTGAAGCAACTGTGAGTATTTCGTGTGGTGAAATGTTATGTATATATGGCCTCCGTCGGTCAATTCTAAAAAAGTCGATATACATTCGTCTGCGTATGTGCAGGGAAATGTATTTTTATACAATATTGTAGCAATAAACAGACATACGTAAGAAAAAATTTTTTCGATTTTTCTCTCTTCTGCGAAAGGGAAGAAATAACCATGTTGTTGAAAACTTTAACCAGTGCACAAACAATTGTCTTCCGGTAGAATATTTGATGCAAGAGTGGGATACATACATGAATCAAATCAAATCAAATCAAATCAACTTTATTGCTCAACAACTGTAGCTGGTACAATGTGACACCAAGGTTTTACAGGCGCCAAAAGGTGATGATGACTGACAGCCCTGCGCACCGGGCCACACCCCATGTCAAATGGCAGCCTGTTCTACAGGTGCGGGCGCACAACATTCAGGCCCAGTTGATGCCGTTCATCATGACGGGCCGAAATCTAGGTCTCAGTACACCCAGCCGACATGAAGAATTTCAGGCATACTGACACTCAAGCTAGTTGGTGTCTTGTTTGTTGACCTCGGCTAGCTGTCGTCTCTCCAAAACAGTCGACCCATCGTGCACACCGACCTGTGTGTGATTCCACCAATATGTTTATTCGTCGATAGCCACGAAATAATGGGACAGTAGGACGGCAAATATAATTGTGAATAGTCAACCGTAGATTTGACAAGCAGTGGTGGCCGCAGTCTCCATATGACATCATCGCTTGTATGAGTGCTATTTGCCGTTATCTCGATAGTACTATGTCAGTGCACCTTTCAAAGTCAATCTTGGGAAGGAAGGGTTGTTTCGCAAAATTTATCACAAAGGGACCTCGTACTGTTCCAAGAGTGATCTGTAGTACATGAAGTTCTCTCAGACGCTCACTCTCATTGTCTTGCAACTAGAGTGGAAAGTGGAAAATTAAAAAGACGACGTGCTTTTCCGCTAGATTCACGTTGACAGGTGCATACCACGTGTCCGGCGTAAGAAATGATGGTAGGAAAGATGAAGCACCGCCACCGAGTCACCGTTATTCCTGTGTGGTCTGTGGCCGTGTTGGTATGGCGTCACCGAGAAGGATTCTGCGGCGGACTGAGGACAGCAAATAATTCCCTCGATGTCAAATAAGAAAAAATACAGAGATAATGGAACATGACGGTTCAATTCTGTCATTGTGGGGGAACAAAATCTATCTCCTTGGTGGAAATAAGACTACTACCCAGCACTCATCAAGCCCAATGCAAAACAATGATATAAGCAATTCAACTAATGAGATTGGTAGTTTCCTGCACTCGACCGCTAAGATACCCCAGGACAAAACGGTAGTTGTCATGCCATTGCCGACCCTTCTGTTAATAGGCTTGATTCTAACGATGTCTGTCTCTAACATTTCATTTTATAGGTACGTATACCTGGGTACGCTTTTTTGGACAAGGGCGTCACAGTATTAAGTCCTTGCCATATTCGTCAGACTTGGAGCAGGATTAAATTTCCCGCATGGTCTCTAATCACATGTGCTGGACGACCGGCACCGGTAATCTTCTTTCCAGCTCAAAGCTCGGCCAATCCGGTGATAAACAGTCGTGACTGTGGGTAAAAATATTAAAGCAAGTCGATGACAGATGACCCTGAAATGATCCAGGCGACCCCTCGAGCGTTTGGCATAACAGAGTTCGGCTATTTAGTTTGCCTTTGGGCGATCAGTACCTGAAATAGGGAGAGAAGGTTGACGAAGGTCGTGTCGAGACTGACGTGAACCCAATATGTGCCATGGTTTAGTTGTATCCAATCATGTAGGTCAAGAAAACAACGTTTAAAAGTAAGCGTTTAGATACTACTGATAACAATCTACTTCTTCTTAGATAAGTTAGTAAGGGCATGATTTTGATAACTATGTGTGTATGTGTATATATACACTTTGTGTGTATTGATCAACCGCTCGGAATGGTACTGCAGAGAATTCCCCGTTACCAACCATCTATTTTGAGCGGCTGGCGGGCACAGGTTTACCCCAGTTGTACCCCGACACTATGTTCACGCAGCAGAAACTATGAATAGTGCACCTGAAAATAGAGAGAGGGAAAGAAAATTGGAGAAAAATCAATAAGATCGTGGTGATTTGTTATTGGCGGAAACGAGTCACATAATCATACCATCACACTGTGCGAGAACGCCCTGGTGTTTATGACAATAGTCAGGCAAAGCTTCTTACCTACTAGTATTTTACACATTTCAAACACACTAACGAGTATAATGGCTTCTCTGTTGTCTATGCTCAACGGAGTAGTTGGATCTGTAATTTACGCTTTGACTTGGATGGTGTAGACCTATTTGTAGAATTTCGAAAAACGTTAGCGACGCTGGTACTAACGAATAGTGATGTTAATGGAGCAAACGAGAATTTCGGTCGATAAGCGCTAACATCAGCATCATGATTTAGGACATATCACGGTCCATTCTTTACAAAGGTCACCCATGTCGATGATGACGGTTGTTTTGTGGCTTTTACGTTAAGATTTCATCAATACTGGCATAAAGGCATAGCATCGGAAGTAATGCACCAACCAAACCACCCGCGTGACTTTTCCCGCCATCTGTCAGTACTATTTCATTCATTGCACCTACGCAAGAATCAGCCAATAGCAGCAGGGGTTATAGGTCAGCAGGGGTTATACTCCCTGCGCGTAAAGCGCGCCCTCGCTGATCACTGTGTTTACAACCTGTGTTTATCTTTTGCTACAACCGACCGGTTCGACACTTCTAACTGCCGATTTACTGGATTTGACAGTCTCGAGAGTTTTAGATAGTTGTCACGGTACAACTGTTCTCATCAACTCGTATGTAAGAAGTTATAAGTGTTCAATTGGTTTATGGGTGGGGATGATGATTATCATAGTTATTCAACCTCCTTGGTTATACATTGACAAACATTGAAGGTAAAGAGCCCACTTCTCTATGTAATAGTACAGAATTTTTAGATGTATGTCTCATTCGTTTCATAATTTTGATGGCATCTTCTTCGTCTTCTATGAACATCGTTTTTTTTTTTTTTATTCTAATTTGTTTGAAACAACAATAATACCTTGATACCTTGATAATGTGCAAAATGTTTTGCCATAGTTGATCCTTTGTGTTGGCCAGGCTCACATTATACACGGGACAATCTATAAGCGAACAACTTGGACCATCGTCCTCCAGCGATGCGCGCTTATTTATTTGTGGGCCGTGCCTAGCGTAGTAAAGTAGGCGTGTAGACGTGTGTAAAGTTCTCTAAGTAATTCCCGCCTTGTGATTGGCCAGGAACTCTACCATGACAAGTTTCTGACCAATCAGCGTACGGGATTTGTGTCTCCGTTCAGCTGATTCCGCCGCATGTGTGCCAGCTCGCAATCATCACTTGCCTCTCAGTCGATGGTTCAGGGTGGACGGGGAGTTGTATGTCCTCGTAGATCGGGGGCTAGTGCCGTTTGCCGTGGACAGAATTAGATGAAACTCGGTAGTTAGATTAAGGCAAAGCTTGTTTATGTCCTCCGTGAAATTCACGGCGATACATCTATTCTTCCAGGTTTTGGGAGCCGCTGAATGAGGGGATCACGACCGGAGGAACGAACCGACGGTTCGACCCGGTATCGCCTTTACTCGGTTGGTTCGGTTTGCAGGCCCCACAAACCCGCTGCACCAAAACTCCTTTTTGTGTGTTCCACATATTCCCGTCTCGGGCCACAGCATGCTCAGGTTCCTCACACAGAAACTCAGACCACTATCCATCAACGAGGTGCAGCCGCTAGAATCTTCGGTAAGTCCCTCTCCGAAATACCGCAATGAAATTTCGGTTCTTTTTGTGTCCGTCCTGTATAACGCTACGTGGATAAAGCTGGACGTGTTTACCCTTGTTGTTTTCTACGCATTTTTCAGGGAGAACTAGAAGATCAAGGCTACAGTAGCACGGATTCAGAGAGTGACAACGTTGAACTGGAGGGACTAGAGAGGGGTAAGCTTTATTTGTTCATTTTGATAGGAATTCCAGACAATTTTGCCGGGATCCGTGTTGTGCGTTTGCGTGCCTCGGTCGTTCCACAGTGGGAAATGGCGGCTGGACCAACAAGTCGGGGGACTCTTGGGAGTTAGGCTCCTTTTTGTTACCAGTGCTTCACACTCCCATGAAATGTGCTTGATTATGTATTCAATCAGCTATCCATTTCTGTATTAGTGAAAGAATGTTACTATCATCCAATTTGATGCTGTCGTTTACAGGGAGGCAACATGAGAGAAATGATACCGTCAGGGAAAGCCCCAAGTTGGAGGCTAGAGTGTCGAACCCCCAGCCCTCCCCAAACCAAGAGAACACACAGGCTTGTCCAGGGCCTTCTCCAATCGGGACAGACTTACTCAGGGATCGGAGAACAGAAGCCGGCGAATTCATGGCCGTGGATCGACACAGCTCTGAGGAAGAACTGGAGCACATTATCAGAGAGAAGGAAAATATGGGAGAGAAGAGAAAGTGGTCACAGGTACGGCTGACAGACATGGCAAAGAAAAATGAACAAAGAAACCTAGCTGGCGGAGTGGTTGTTTAGATTATGATAAATCTTGGAAAATTTGAATTTTTTTGTCTAAATTACTAAGTAAATGGAATAATGATATTAATGAATGATATTCATTCATTAATGGACGCAATTAATTGTTTAAAGCAACATTGTTTTCAATGATTGATGGATGATAACATTTTTTGAAAACTATAACGTTAAATATGGCCATACCAATTTAATTTCTTGGTTAATGGATTTTTTTCTAGAAAAATAATGGAGCGAAAAAAAAAAAAACAGGCCTAGGCATCCTATTATGGCCCAAAATGGTACGATAGGAGCCATTAAGTCAACACACCAAGCTGGTTCAAAATTTAAACAATGAATTTTGAACTTTTAATGATACCACTGCATTGAAAGATAGAATAACTGTAACAACCAGAAGAAAAGGACTGTTTTCAACTGTTAGGGCAAAATATGAGCATTTTGCAGTTGATTCTGAATTTTTATTTTTATTTGCAAATCAGAAGCCGGTGAATCCGTTAACCAAGAAATTAAATTGGTGTGGCCTATTAGTATAATTCAATTCATACCTCAAATTTTCTGTGTGATGAATCTGTTGACTATCATTCCCAGGTGAACCGATGGAGTCTCAGCGGAGATAGCTCAGGGTCTAGTGATGATGAAGTCAAGGACTTGATGTGTGGGAAGGTCTCGTCTCCAGTTGTGTTTACGTCTTCCCCACCCAAGCGGCATGTACAGAAAGTTTACCCCGCACAAGGCGAGAGGTCCCAGCTCTTCATCGCCCGGGTGAGAACAGTGGACGGCTGTGCCAGTCCCAGAAAGAGACATCGACAAGCCTTCAGCGAGGCGCAAATTCACGCCATCACAGACAGGCCCAGTTTGGACTTTGAGAAAATGCAGCAGGTTAGTGAAGTCATGTTTGCAAATCTTGCATGATGTCAACAATGCTTGCTGTGATACCATTGGACAACTTGTATTGTGAGTGTCAAATGTGCAATTTATGCTAGTATATCTGACCAAGAATGGTGACATTTCTAGAAAGTAATAAAAAAGACCTGTTCAACAACTCTGTGTTTTTTTATCCTGTTCGTTTCACCATTACATGTAAATATTCTGCCTGCATATTACTAGTATGTCAATGTTGTCTTGTAGCCCACATGAGAGCCTGCACATGACCAAAAAAAGTCCCCATTGAGTCATCATTCATCCCATTCCTCATTCGGCCCTGCCAGTGACTTTTGATAGCATTCCAAAAACAAGTCTGAACTTGTATGTACTGTCAATATTTTATGATATTATATTCACGACACTGAAAAAAACAGTTTCTCATATGGGTATCAGCTACAGCCCCCAAATAATTACCATGTACGTAGATGACTGGGGCACAGTTCAAGTCTGAATTTATGCTGAGGTCGTGCAGCATTTGTAAGAAGGGTTATACATGTGTCACCTACATCATAGTACATGTTTCAAATAGTTGAAATGTGGCAGGGTATAGGTGGACCACTGACAAGTATGTACAGTGCTCATGGTAGGGCCAGGGCTGCCCCTATCTGGTGTGGAGAGGCTTCATCATGGCTATGTTTGCCATTATCTGACATGTTTAGCCACTAGGGAGTTTTCTGTGTCACTGCAGTTGTTGATAATAGTATTTCCATTGGCTGACATGGAGAACCCTTCTCTGAATTACAGAGCCAGAAATATTCTCTGGCTGGCCTAGGGTCAGTCCCAGGACAGTCAACATGACCAATACTTCAGCTGTCTGCCTGGGAGGGCAGTTGACTCTGGTATTGTTATGATATCTGTTGGAATGGATGATTGTTTTTGAATAAGTGGGGTGTGTTTGGAAGGAGAAGACAGTGAAACATGATCAGAGGAATAGAATCAATACATGCAGGAAGATGGGAGACAGATGTAATATCCCACTTCAGGACATGTTTGAGTGTTGTGCTTGCTATTTTTGAGCTCAAGTCCTTGTTGAGCTGAACTTCCTTGTAGAAGTTGTGATATTTGGCTAGTCCATTTGTAGTGGCAGTGACAATTGGCTGTCTATATGCAAGGTCATTCTGTCAGCCATCATTGTTATTATCAATTGGCCATGGATCAGATGTTGGTACCTGTGAATATGTGAGGTATACACTTTTGGTGCATGTTAGCCTGGTGCTGAAGGTGCACAGATACAAAATGTATCTTGTTAAAATTGGAACTTGGCGTGGTCTTAATCAGGATTATTGGAAGAGGGAATTGTTGAACCATTTTTCATGCACCCCAAGCTATCTGCTATTATGCAGAGCAGGATTTGGCTGGGTTCCAAGTCGCCACCCTATTATAGAACCTCTGCCATGTTTAGGAAAGACCCATAAGTAAACAAAACCTATTGTGTACTTCTGTTTTCACATAGGCAAACGCCTTGTCACCCTTGAAGGGGATTGGACCTCCATGAAAAATACTGCTATCGACTTGCGCTTGTGAACACTCATAAATTCCAGCGTGGAAACTGTAACCAGCTCATTGTTGTCAACATGGTCATTGCAACAATGCCAGCAGTAATAGTAGAACCTTGGTGTGTTCAGAAAGCCCACCATGTATGACCTTCTTTTTGAGGAAATTTTACTGATTGGCTCATTTCTGGGTTGACCAGGGTCGGGTTCTGAAATGGTGGACTGTTTTCTCTCATGAAGCCTGTGTAAGGGGGGAACCATTCCACAGTTGCTGTTTGGGCTGGGTGTGGAACTGGAGCTACCAGGGTAGTCTGAGGTCTGCATCAGGGCCAAACCACTCTGGTCTGGAGGGGTCACACTTATTCCTATAGAGCATTCATCTTTTATCCACTGGTTTAAGTCATGGTACATATGACAACTCAAGTGCTGGTACTCCTTTGGTCCTGTTTGGAAGGATCCTCTCATTCTGCTAAAGGTGACAATATCTGTCATCAGTGCCTGTAGTATTTTATCTTGTGGCCTATTCTGTGTTTTCTGGTCAATGTTGCCTATACAACCCCAAGACAAACAGTAAAATTTGAAATACATAACTCAAGGTGAAGTACTTTTTCCACAACACCTACCTATTCTGTGATTCCCAATACCATTAGTACCTGACAATGACCAAGAAGGAAATCTACATCCTGAAGCTTAACTTATTTCTTACAAGTGGCAGGGATGAATTGCGGACAGGTGCTGATGACTGCCTCATTGAGAGAGAAGCTCCTGACACAATCACAACAGGATGTAGAAAACCACTGTGGTTAACTTGGTGGTTTTCCACATGGATGCTTTGGGTTTTGTGCTTCCCTTTGTCAGCCTCTTGACAAAATCCTACCTATATCTGTGAAAGATTGCTTTCTTGTCCATGCCCCGGTTTTGTTTCTTTCAGTCAGGTTTTCAGTAGAAAGTCTGTGGGAGATATTTTGGCTGCTATGCTGTGAACATGATTATATTTATCTGCTACGGTCTAGACTAGTTGACGTGCACAGAAAGGGAAAAGAGGTCTGTTTTGTAATGGTGGAAGGAATAAGAAAACCAGGTCTTTGTGCCAAAGCTTGTACTGTTGTAGAGAATATTAGTTGAACTGTTGATTGAATGCCAAAGTCCTGTAAGTTAAAGGTTTTCACCATCCATCTATCTAATCAAAGTTTCATTGTCTTGCTTTACATATGTTTTGCACATAAGGACATATGTTTTGCACATAAGGCCTGGAAATAATCACTGCAAAGGCTACTTGTAATTCTGTTCAGGATTATACTTAGCTTTATTAAAAGTTTCTTAAACATCTCCAGTTGGCAACTCATCAGAACATCTGCAGTTTTGTCTGAAGGAGCTCAAAATAGCAAGAAGGATAACGAGTTTGCCTGATTTTGAACTTGAAGGACTTGATTATGATGTAAATGCATGGTTTTCACATGTCAGTCTCTATGTCTTTCCAAATGGATATCTCCCAGTTGTAGTTTGATGCATAGTATTAGTAAGATTATTCTTTGGATTGGGGAAAGCAACACAAAATGTATCTAGTAAAGTAAAATAAGAAGTGGAGAAAGTGAACCAGGGAACGTACATATCTTAGTCATTTTATTATGTCTGTAAACTGTTCCTTCCATCTAGTAAAGAAAAAGTAAAGAACCAAAATAAGAAGGCTGGTGGTAGCAGTATAGCTATAGGTTGATTTACTATGGGAGTAGCTATGTTATAGGCAATGGTGCCAAGTCATGGGTCAGCTAGTTCAATCTATCTGTCAGTTGGCAGTACCCCAAGGTCAAATGTGGGTGTACTTATGGTGTAGCCTTGTTTAACAAGAGGTTCTCGTATATGTCTTTGGAACATGATGTCATCCATGTGGGTATATACTGTAGTACTGTGTGTTCTCCAAACTCCACATGTTTTCAAAACCGTGTGATGGAAACTTTAACCCACATCAAAAATTGCTAGATATTAACCTACCCATTGCAGAAATGTTGAAATTTAGGAATAGTAAGTCACAAATCGTTGTGGAATATTGATAACAACACTTACCTGAATTATGCAAAGCAAGTCATAATTTGCATAAACGCATGTATGCCACATGTGATGAAGTAATGTCTAGCCATACTATATGGTTCTGATGATAATACTTAATAATTGATCATTTTTTTCTTGCAAATATCTAAATTGCTTGCTATAAAATTATTTCCACTGTGTTAGGTTTCAAGTTCACATTGCTGAATAGGTGCAATGTGGCATAAAGAATCTGACTTCTGTGCCGTGTGACAGAAAACAGAACAATAGTTTGTTCGGTGGTGCTGAAGGACAATGTTTTGTGGTGCTGGTGGCAGCTGCTGTGGATACTGCTTGGCTGTGATATTGATGTCAGAATTTAAGATATGAGATAAACAACAATCTGGTCATGTTGCTAATAGTAGTGTACAAGGTCAGTCTGACAGCTGTGAGGGGAGGTACATAGGATCATCCATCCAGTGGACAACTGAAATTTTCCTAAGACTAAATATGTTCCTCCATGCACTCATACAAAAAACGATTGGCCATTCTTTGTTGGAAATAGATATCAAATACAAAGGTGCATCATGTAGATCAGCTCTTGACCTAAGGTTGGACAGGTGCTGTGATCACAATGACAACTGAGGTTCAGAATCAGATATCCTTTTTTTTAAACTCTGACAGGTGTAAATCATCAGGTCAGGCCTTGCTGAACTCTAACCTAAGCTGTTTGTACTATCACTTAGAGTCCCTTACAGCAGAATGTTTTAGGGAGGTCTCATTATGTTAGTCTGTATAAGAACAAAGTAGAAAACCAAATAGATGAGGCACTCCTTGAAATGACACAGAAATAGCTTATGGGAGTTGGAAATATCACGTTCCTTATTGGTTAGGAAAACTTTGTTGTTTTTTTATACAATTTGCCTAATCAGCCCTATGTTTGTACATTGACCCATTTATATAGTATTGTATCATGTGTGTCTGAACTATACTCCTGTTATAACCAGTAGCATGATATCTACAATGTAGGACCTAAGCTAGATCAGTGCATTTCTGTAGCTTTTTGGAGGCATTGTGAAATCACGATTGGGACCAAAAGCAAGGCATGAAATAGCCACCTGCAACCTGCAATTTGCAGGCAATAACTGAAATTGCTAGTAAATAATTTAGAACCTGCAAATCTGCAGGTCAAAAATAGTTCAAAGCCGGATGATTTATTATATGAGGTTTAATTTCATCCAATGTCAGTATAATAATGTGTGTCAACTTCATCGCAGCAAAATATACCTGCTTTAGTCTCCATTTGCATACACTTCTGTGTTTGCTCCTTTGTTGTTGGTCATAATAATATCTTGTGTTTGCAGCAGGACGTCAGGCAATCGTGTGACTGGTGTTGACTGATATTAAGGGATAATCAAGTCACCCTACAGCTGTACA